ACAATGTCATCGACATATACTTCCAGATTTTTGCCAATCTGAGCGTGGAAGACAATGGTCACCATTTTCTGATAAGTAGCACCTGCATTCTTCAAGCGAAACGGCATCATGACATAACAATAAATTTCATCACCAGCATAGAACGCGATTTTCTCTTCGTCTTCTGGAGCCATTGGTACCTGGTGATACCCCGAGTATGCGTCCAAGAGGCTTAACCTCTCATTGCCTGAAGCTGCTTCAACTAGTTTGTCAATGCTCGGCATTGGATAGCAATCCTTGGGGCAGGCGTTGTTAAGATTTGTGTAATCAATACACATTCGCCATTTGCCATTGGCTTTCTTCACCAGAACTGGGTTAGCCACCCATTCACAGTAATCAACTTTCCGGACAAAACCAGCTTGTAGAAGTTTCTCTACCTCTTCTTTAACAGCCTGAAGCCTCTCCCCCCCAAAGAGACGCCGCTTCTGGGCCACTGGTTTCTTCAACGGGTTGGTACTGAGCTTATGTTGACATACTGAAGTTGGAATTCCTGGCATATCTGCCGAAGTCCACGCAAATACATCATTGTTAGCTCGGAGAAAAGCTATCAGTTCTGCTCTCTCCTCCGGGTTCAATCTAGTTCCGATCTGCGTTTTTTGGCTCGGATCTTTGTCATCAACGAGCACTTCTTCAACATCTTCGACCGGAGCAGCTCTGGTTTCATCTTCTGGTCGATTATCTACGATCTCAACAGCCATAACTTGCTGATTATCAGAAATTTGCTGGGGAATGGCTTCGGGAGTTTGAGCTTTGTCCTTCATGGGTTGTGTTACCGAGGTGATATAACAGTGTCTGGCCACCTCCTGGTTTCCCCACAATGTTGCTATTCCCATTGGAGTGGGGAATTTCATGCAGAGGTGAGATTGGGAAACCACAGCTCGGATTTCGGTCAATGTGGGTCGACCAATAACAATGTTGAAAGAGGACGCCATTTTGACGACTAGGAACCGGACCGACGGGGTTACATAGGTTCTGCCACTTCCAAAAGCCACATGGAGAGTAAGAACTCCTTCTACCGGAACAAGCTGGTTGTTGAAACCATAGATAGGACCATCATACTTCTGCAACAGACCTGGATCTAATCCCAGACTCTCGAAACAGTGGAAATACATGATATTTGGTGCACTCCCGGTGTCAACAAGGACACGTTGTACTTCACAGTTGTTAATCATGACAGAAGTGACCAAAGGATCATTGTGGGGTGTAACAACTGTATCAAGATCAGCAGATGTGAAAGTAATTGGTTGATTCTTCCATTCAGCATCGTCAATCTTCCGCTTCTGAGCTCGGTTTTGATGTTTAACCTCCCTGACATACAGCTTTCGCTGCTTAGAGCTCAGTCCACCTGCTTCAAGGCCTCCCGTAATCATATGTATGATTCTAGCAGGTGGTGGGAGTGGAGGTGGGGTTTGTTGATATCCCACACCTTGCCTATTTGGGGGATTGCGGGCTCCTTGAGGCTGCGGCCTCTGTTCTCTGACAAACCTTGGCTGTTCAGCTCGATGTACATACTCATTCAACATTCCCTTCTGAGCTAAACTTTCCAGCTCGGGCTTTAGACTGTTACACTGCTCTGTAGTATGGCCGTGATCTTGGTGAAAATCACAATATCTGGTATGGTCTCGACTAGCAGCAGCAGTTCGCATCGGGCCAGGACGTCTCAAGTCCATTTTGTTCTTAATCTGCATAAAAATTTGTGACCTCGGCAGATTAAAGGGAGTCCAGTTAACTGGAGGTTTACCTGCAGGTTGTTGCGGGGGAGTTGAGTTCGTCCTTCCGAATCTCGTTGGGGAGGTCAACATCGGACCTTGGTTCTGCGCCATCCTCATCCTTTTCCGGCTCGGATTGTCATCTCTCCATTCTGGGTTCTGGTTCTTAGAGGAATGTGGGTTTTGTGCCAGGGCGTATTCCTCAGCAGTTATAAATTTGAGAGACCTATCATTCACCTCGCTGAAGGTGGTGGCAGCATGTTTGATCAAACTGTCTCTGAACCTGTCATGCTTGAGACCAGAAATTACAGCTGCAATACCCACAGCTTGGTTGAAGGAACTAACCTCCAACACCGCATCATTGAACCTGCTCATATAGTTCTTTAGAGACTCTCCGTCCCTCTGTTTAACTCGCATCAATTCAGTGGTAGTTTTCCTAATCAACCTTCTACTGGAAAACTTAGTGGCAAATGCGGATGCCATCTCTGTGTAAGAGCTAATTGACCTCGGGGGTAGACTGTAATACCAAGTTCGAGCATTACCTCGTAGAGTAGAGGGGAAGATTTTGCACATCAGCGCGTCAGAGGCGTTCTGAGCTTGCATGCAAGAGTAGAAAGCATGCAGGTGATCATCGGGATCCTTCGTCCCATCATAAGTCTCCAGTTGTGGTATTTTGAAGCCAGTAGGATAGGGTTCCAGTGTGATGTTAGTATTCAGAGGGTGAGGTATAGAATCAGCAGCATGGTGTGGGGGTGGAGCACCTCGGTGTTCAGCTACTAGCTTTTCCAAGCTATCGAGGCGTCGGGTGACATCATCTGGGATGGGTTGCTGAGCAGGTGCTATGTGGGATTGACCTTGGGATTCACTAACAGCGGGAATAGGTTGAACCGGTTGGGGGTTTTGTTGTGGAACTGGGGGTTGTTGAGCGGGGTTTAATAAATTAATGAGGGGATCACCAGGATTATTTCTAGCTAGAAGTTGAGCTAGTACTAACTGAAAAACACCAAACTGCTGCTGCATGGCAGCAAGCTGAGCTGTCACCACGTCTTGGTTGGCAGTGGAAGTAGAATTGTGAGCTGAGGCATGAGGTTGGTTTTCATCTCCTCCTTCTGCATGATCAGCAGGAGGGAATATGGTTGGGACCTGAGGTGGAAGCTGAGGTAAGGTTTGAGGTGGGATCGGAGGTGGAAGGTTGTTGTGTGGTTGACC